AGTTGTGCTGAAAAGGAAAGTTAACCCTGTTTGCCCTTGTTGTGCTAGTAGACCTCTTTGCTTACTAGAACTAGTTTGGATGTATTTAATGTTAGTTCCTGCTTTTTCAGAATTACAGAATTATAAAAGAATAAGTGAACTCTCATTTGTATCCTGAATGTGTAATCTTATCGTTTCCTTGGGGTTTTCTCCTGAAGGTGTGAAAATCTGAAGACTTGTGTTTTTTAGAAAGTGAAAACCATGATAATACGTCAGCACCTTTAAGCCTTGAGATGGCAGTTGTAGTCACTGCTCTGTTCCTGGCAGGACCTCGTATTCTCGGCTCCTCACAGCCTGTGCGACTTCGTTCCTCTGGGAGATGCTTCCTTTATATTTCTCTTAGGCAGCTTTGTTTATACCTCGTCACATTAGCAAAGCTGGGAATGAAACCCAAGTCTTTAGTAAATAAGACCAAGTGGCATCTACTTTACAATATGATATTTTTTAAGGAATTGTCAAATTGTGCTTTTTAACATGCCATGGGGTAGCATGGCCACCTATAGGATACTGTAGAAATCTACTTCCAGGATAGGAGAGATGGTTCTGTTAATTCCACGGGAATTAACGGGTTCTGTTAATTTTGCTAACTCTAAGGGAACTTCAGTTCCCTTGGACAGGCTAAAGTGAAAGACTTTAATTTAGGTGTTGTTTCTGAACCATTAGAATACAGTCAAGTTTCAAAATCAGTAGTTGAAGCCAAGACTAACTTTCCACATCCCTGCTGTTGTGGTAAAACTTTACGTAGTCTATTGGCAATGTGTGTTGTGTTTTGTATGGAGCACAAAAGCCTCAAGCCACACTTCCTTGTCCCTTACCCAGCCTTGTTCCTGCGGCTGCTTTGGAAAGCTGGGGAATGGGGAAGCCCAGGGCTGGCTCTATGTGTATACAGCTTAGTCTCGGCTCTGGTCTGGCAGCAGGAAGCGCAGGGCACGATGCAGAGCAAGCAGGGACACTGTGTGCTGTGTCACCGCACAGAAACGGGCCACAGGCACAGACAAAGCACCGGCCCTGTCCGCGTGTCGGGGGCTTGCGTGGAGCTTCCCTGCTCCTTGTTTCAACGTGTACCTGCTGATATGTGGGAACCTGGTAGGGAATGCAAGAGGGGAGAGGAGTGTGTCCATCACAAGGCCAAGTCCATGGAGCCCCTCGGCCCCCAGGATTTCCTGCCGAGATGCTGCTCCAGGGAATTCACGTTCAAGCCATATAACCCCATGTGGGAAAGGCCCTTCCCCGCCAGCGCAGCCGCAGGCTCTCTGGGGACACATTTCTGTGGCACTTTGGAGGAGGTGGCCATAGCAGCCCAGGCCATCGTGGTCCTGCTGCACATCCTCGTCGTGCAGGCCAAGCACCAGAGCGCACCGAGACAGCACTGCCGTAGACCTGAGAGACACCAGGCACAAAAACTGGAAATGGGCCTAGGAAAACTGTTTCACCAGCAAGCACGTCTTACTCTTAAAGGAATAAAATTTACAGTCACAGAAGATCCCTAAGTATTTTTTAAGTAACACTTTTTCTTGCAGGGATTAATACAGCCTTGGTGGTCCCTGTTCTGATTTCCACAGTGCTCACCATGACATTACAGACTGTCTCTCTTTCCACACATTCAGCAATAAACAACACAGCATGCTGTAAACAATAAAGTCCTGTAATAAGAGCTCTTACAGTGGCCTTAAAATCTCCTTGAGTCGTAAATTAGAGAGAGAAATGGTGGTAGTGGGATGAGTTTCCTCACCTTTATTTCTGAATTCCACATGGATCAGAATTAGAAGAGAAGCCTATTTTTGTGTCTGTGAGCTGTTATCTCTGATACCTTGGCACTAGCAATAAGAAGTGTGAACATAGTGTGGCTTACAGAAATTGGAATAAGCTGGAAATGTTGATTATTAACTGTTAGAAATTAACCATTATATACATTGGCCAGCACCATGCCACATTCTGTGTGCAGGTGAGTGGCCACTTGCAGAACTTCGTGAAGTTAGAAAACAGCCTGATCCTCAGTTATTTGTAGCCCAGATCAACTTTCCAAGCAGATTAACTGCACGTTTTGCTTTTGCACGAGATGGGAGACAGGAGCAAGGGTTTGGGTGGAGGGACAGAACGGGACTGGTTTCCTTTGGCCATTGTGCTGGTTTGTCAGCTTAAAACATGCATGAAGTTGTAGCTTCTGTCACGCTGCCTTGTATTTTTGACAAGTTAAGACCATATGCAAAAAAGTCCCAAAGTTTCTTTGGCATAGCAATTTAGTAGTTAAGCTGTATGAGTGTTTCGGGTATTTGAACCTTACAGCACTTCTCAAATACATACAGAGGGCTTTTGGCTTCACCCTGAAAAACATAATCCAGGCTGAAGAGAGTTGGTGCCAATTCTTTCTCCTGATACTTAGCTACAAACTTAAAGAACTTAAAGGTAGAGTTGTGCTCTACAGTTCCAATATAACTGGAGCTTAAATATCTGGTCACCTGCTCTTCATCCCTTAGGACTACGTGCTTGCAGTAGAAGCTTATCACTCCGTCATCAAATACTATCCGCAGCAAGAGCCTCAGCTGTTGAGTGGCATTGGAAGGATATTTCTTCAGGTATGTGTTTTATTCTAAGTCTGATAGGTAATGCCACTGTTTGCAGCTATGATGAGTGACTGTTACATCTAAAAGTACAGTTATTTTTATAGGGCATGTATCAAATTATAGAGGCAATGGTAAAAAAGAAAAAAAAAATCACTGTGAGATTATCAGATTATCCTAGGAAATACAAACTTGAATAGTATTAAAATCACATGCAGTTACATTAGTGAGCAAATAAAGTGCTATAGAAAATTATGCTTATAGTTGACTCAAAAGGCAAACTTCTTAAAATTAATGGTAAAACTCCTATTTTATTGAGCCAGAATTTCATTGAAAATTTACTTTCCCACTGCTTTAGACCACAGTTCTTGGTCATCCTCTATCACATGTGAGTTAATTTTAAAGAATCTGAGAGTTTCCTGATTATATCACTGAGAGGAGCACTTTAAAAGAAGAAAGTAGCACTGCATGTATATAACAACTTTGCATGTAGCTATTTAGCTATGTAGCTAAGAGAAAGATAAATTTCTCGTTTATCAGAAAAGAGTGTCTAAACAGTTGGTATCTGATAGTTTTAATTTTGAGTATATGAAGTTCTAGCTTTTTCGCACTCTCTAATAGTAATGTTTCAAACTTTTACTTTTTATCTATTATAAATTTAATTTTGAATTGTCAAAAGTATTTATGAACAATCCAGTTTGTGGCACTAAGGTTATAAAATTGCATTGAAATTGCATAATTTACTCTTGGTAGATAATTAAATCATGAATAGTACTGTTTGCTTGCAGTCAGAGAATGTGTCATTCAAATTCAGCTCCAGATTTTCAGTTGTTAGCAGGAAAATGTTTTCACCATTTGATAGAAATGTGTTTGTGTTTAAAATACTCTGATTTAAAGTGGCTCTCCATCATTATAGAGAGATGTTTTAATACTGAGAAGTGTCGTGTACATTAATTAATTATTACCTAAATAGGCAGTTTATAATTATCTATATTAAATAATGGCACTGTAAATTTGTGTAATACTATTGGAAATACAAGTTATTAATTACTAGTTCTGGTCTTAATGGGAAGGGAAACTAGGTGTATTACTTGGTACTGCCTTGCTGAGCAGTGTCTTCCCTAGGGTCACACTCTGGTCCGTTAGTAGCTCAGTTTGCTGTAGAAATATCTTCACTGGAGAATGGCAGGAAAGCAGTTCCTAGTTTTGAAAAGAATGATGTCCATTCAGTTTAAAAAGTGGTGTTAATAGACCTGCTAGGAAATCGTCTGGTGTCGTGGAGCTCCGTGATGGTGACCTGAGTTTGTATGTGGGGTTTTTGTGTTTATTCAATTGACCTTCCCAGTTTTGGGGACCATGTCTTCTTTATCTTCGCATGCGGAGTAGCGTAAAGATGTGATGTGTAAAGGTGTAAGGCTCCGAGCTGCTGTCTCGGTGCAAAGGGGAAATGGGGCCAAGAGACCAAAGACTGCAAGAAAAAAAACCAAAAAAACAACAATAACGGAGCCTCTCACAGGGATATTTTTATTTTGAGAAGCACCATAATCCTGTCACCATCACCTGAGTTATAAAATAGAAATTCTCATGAAGCAGGGAAACAGCAGGGAAATTCACAGGAAGCAGGGAGACATTTTAGTCTTGAGGATTTTATGGCATGTGGCTAATAGACTCTGCTCACCGACTGACCTATCCAAAATTGCCATTTAAATAACTACATTAAAGAACTTAAAAGGTGAAAAGATATCTGGCCATATTCTGCAATAGGTTGCAGGAAAACAGAGTTAAAAACAATAAATAAATTCTAGGAGTACTTCAGAAAAATAATCTGGGAATTCAGACTAACAACTAACTTAAGTGCAGAGCTTATTGGAGGCTTATTAATAGAGGATATTATTTGAGAGTAATAGAGGATATTATTTGAGAGTAAGATGAAAGCAATAATTTCATTATTAATTTGAAGTGCTACTCACCTTTTCTGAATGTAGTTAAATAAAATTAAGTAGCAAAGACTACTTCAAATTTTTAATATTTAATAACTAATTTAAGCCTAATTTCAGTGTTTCTGGGTGAAAAAAAAAGTGTAAGAAGTATAAAGGTATTAACAGTTTCCCTTCTGTTTAATGGCAGGAATGGCAATTCCTATGATCTGATATGTTTGCTTAGAAGACATAGGACGCTACTAAGAACTAGAACTCTTCATGATCCCAAATATGGTTTGATTAGTTTTAAAACCTGTTAGATTTGGATTCTGCAGGCTCCAAACGGAGCAAACTGGAAGTTTGCTTTAGAGACTGATTATTCTCATGGCCAGAAGCACAAACACTATGAAGGGCAGGATTAGAATGTAAAATAATCTTGAAAAGTTGGGAAAATGAAATGGTAACTTGGATGCTGTTCAAAAAATTAAAGGCCAAATCTACTGAATGGTGACAAAAATATACAAATACAAAATGGAAAAAAAATGATCAGGCAGTGTGCTGCATACAGGAATTAGTGTAAGGGAAAGCAAGATACATGTGGGTAAACAAACCAGACTCTTAAAATACTACGGCATAAAAGCAAACTTCATATATAGATGTAAAACACAAAATAATGCTGCTTTTCTTGCTGCTGCTGCTGGGAGCTCAGCTGGAGTTTGTGACCACTTCTGGGAGCTCAGGGAAGAAGTGAAGAACAGAGAGGAATTGCAGGAATGACCAGAGGGGCTAGAAAGCATTTCCTATGAGGAAAAAAAATAAAAAATAAAAAGTGATGATTGATTTGCTTGGAATTTATTTTTTCCTTTTCCAAAAGGGCAAGTGTGCTGAATAGTAACACTCAGGCTCAATGGAAGTTCTGTCCTCTGCCCATTTTCAGCCAGTTTTGCAAGCCCTGGAGAAGCTCCACACTCTACAGCTGAGAAGCACTTGGATAAAGCTGTACCTGCCCTTGGGGCTCTTTTTCAGGATCTTAATATGGCTTTTCCAGGGTCTTGTTTAATAACAGACGTTACCCAGTAACACTTATACCGGATAACAACACTGTTTTCATGTTCTTATTCTTTGTAAAAGCTTTAATCAGGATGTATCTCTCTCCTTCTTGTCATGGTAACCTTATGCTTTTACTGTTTAGATTGGAGACATAAAAGCTGCCGAAAAATATTTTCAAGATGTAGAGAAAGTGACTCACAAATTGGATGGACTGCAGAGCCAAATAATGGTTTTAATGAACAGGTAGATAATTTAATGGCTAACTGAAACTTCAAAATACAGTCTTGCAAAGTATGTATTGTGAGCATTAAACTACCCTTGAGACAATTCTGCTTTAAGTAACTACGTCTGTCATAAGTGAGACTGGATGGCACGTAGATGGCAAGAGATCTGCATTACTTGATACAGTCACATTATCCCGGATGAAATTGTGATCCTTCCGTTGATTTTACAAAACCTTTTCTTATTCCTCCAGTTATTGCATATTTTCACTCTGCTTTTTCGGTACACATTTGCATAAATAACTCTTAGGAGAGGAAAAGCTATTTTGGTCCCTTATCCTACAGTCACATCAGCTAGTGAAGCTGCCGTGTTTAGGTTCAAAGAGTGCTAGAATATAAAGCAGTAAACTGAGCTGCATGCGGGGAGCTCAGGTCGTCATGTTGAGCACATTGGCTTAATATATTTAGAAAATATTGCTCAAAAATACTCTGGAAATGATACAGCTCGCCTCATTTCATGAAGAGAAATAATTTCAGGAAGAAAGTAACTGTATTTTAATTAATAAAAACACAATAGAGGCGATTGCTTTGGTAGGCAGAATATCTAATAGCAAGCTGATGCAAGGTGTCACTCCATTTGTCTGTAAATCAGTGTCTCCTTGCTGGCTAGAGATTACACCGTGAAGAGCAAATGTCAGAAACTTGCACATCTATAATAGGAAAAATAAAAAATGGTGTCCATTCTTTTTAAATATATTATCACCTTGAGTTTTTCAGGATAATTCATTCATGTGTCACTTACTTTCTAGAGCATTTCTCCACCTTGGTCAGAATAATTTTGCAGAAGCTCATCAATTCTTCACAGAAATTTTAAGGATTGACTCATCAAATGCTGTGGTAAATCTCCGAATTGCTACATACATATAATGAACACCTATATTATTCTTATAATGACTCATTCATGGATTTAATTAGTACCCAGAGCTTTGCGGAAAAATTAGATGATGTCTGCAGGCCCATGAGTTTTTAGTATACATAAAGATAGGATAAAAGATGGGAAATGAAGAACCAGTTTATATGAAGGGAATGAAAACTTAGATATGCATGTAGATAGTCCAGTGCAGTATGATTTTATGGGATGTTTGCAAAAGCTCTTTTTTTTCTTGCATTTACTGTGTTTAGTGTAGACATACATGTCAGAAAAGGAAATGGCAGCTGCTAATATAGATGGAGTTTAGAATTTCTATAACACTCAAGGGATACTGTCTGTATTTTTCACATGTTGTGCATCAGGACCTTGGATCACGTCACAGGATGAGGTCAAAGAAGGGCTTTTTCCTTCTTTTACTTTTGTCATTTGTACATTTGGCATATTTTTCAATTGACTTAAAATTAAATGAGTAACGTCCTGCACTATTTGTATTATGATTTAGATTCTCTTAGAGTTTCAGCTGCTAGAAGTCCTTTTGGCACCAGACAGGTCTTGAAATTACCAAAAAAGAAAGGGTTGGGGTATAAGATTGATAGGATATTTTAGTTACTTGTGCACACACGTACACACACAAAAAAGGTAATTCTGTGCACACAGTAAGTTTGCTTTTACTCCAGATGTATCCTTTTTTTTTTTTCCGCCAACACTTCTAAATACTTATATATAACTATACAGTTATACAGTTACAGTTATTTATTAACAGTATGTTTTTCTCTAGGCTAATAACAACGCCGCTGTTTGTCTTCTTTATCTGGGAAAACTGAAGGATTCCCTGCGGCATGCACGAGAGTGTGCTCTTCAACTTGACCACCATGTACGAGCTGGAGTCGTCCCGCAGCATGCAGAAGAAGCAGGCCCTGCTGGAGGCTGTGGCCCTCAAAGAGGGGGACAGCTTTAATACTCAGTGTCTCAAGCTAGGATAGATCATTTCCAACTATTTTTTCCAGCAAAGTGCATTTTTAAAATTGTATATACTCTTGCTAGTGTGTAAATGTGAAATAAAATCTCTTCAATTCTGAATGTTTGGCTCTGTTACTACAGAAGCTCTGTTGTCTCTGGCAGTCTTGACCACCTCTGTGTAGACTTTGTAGTGACCTGTAGCCATCTTCATCCCTGCAAGTCTGTGTCTGTTTATGGTTATGCCTCTTTATGGGATACACAAACAGGCAATTACTCTCATTCATTTTAAATTGCATTTGACCGACTTTGTCTTGATGATTGCTATAATCTTTCTGTAATTTGTGAGCAAAAGATACGAGCTAATTTCATCAGATAGCTAGAAGATGTTGATGGGCTATCAGTATGTGTGTTGCAGAAACGCAGCTCTGAGCGCACATCTCCTCAGCTGCTGTTACTGTGTACTCTTTACCCTCATCAAAATATTTAGTATCTTTGTGTATTCGGCTATTAAATGGAGAAAGTGGCAAGAATTCACCTAGTATTTAACATCTTATGCTCTCAAGGGAAGATAGCCACCATACTGTGAGGGCTCTATCATCTGAGTGAAGCTAAAGGGAATCCCAGCTCCATTTTGGTGCTGTGATGCCATTAAGTCTTTCAGATTCAATTTTACGGTTCTGTAAGGCAGAGGGTAACCCTGGAGGATTTCTCCCTATTCCTGTACTAACCCTTTCCTTCTTCATTACTAGTTCCGTCTTTCCCACCCTCTAGCCAGTCAGGTGTCACCGGGCCGAGGTTTATGTCCCACCTGGGTGGCAGACCCCTCGCTTTCATACACACACACACGTGGATGTAGCTCCCATCCCACAGCCACCTTCCTCATGCAGCCTCCCTGTGGGTGCAGACAGACGTGCTGCTCCCCTGGGGCACGTTGCTCACCAGGGAAGGGAGCATCGCCAGCCACGGAGGGAGCTGCACGCGCCGGGAACGGAGGGCGCCTAAAAACTGCTGTCTCTGCTGCTTGTGCAGAGACTGAGTTTGTTCCGTTCCTGCAGAATATGTAGGTTTTATATATTTTACTTGTATACTGAAACAGTGGACCTATCAACTGAAAAAAAAAGGTATTTCTATGGCTTGGCCTCCAGATGCCATGACTGAATCTGAATTAAACTTGTGCAAGAAAAGCAAACGTACGAGTAGACTTATCCTCATATAGCACTGCTGAACTCTAAAAAATGAAAGATTCAGCACTGCTTACTTCAAGTGGTTTAAACAGCTCATGCATGTCTTTAATGAGTATTTAAGTACCGTGAAATAAAAGTAGTTACTTTTAGTAATTTATTTTACCATTTATGAACTTTTATAATTATTTTAATATTGCTGTAATTTGAGATTAGGTGTAACAGTAATTGGACAAATCCTCAGTTTCTTTTAGTTGTCGTAACTCATTTGAAATCGGTGTAGTTTTTAGTTTTGATTTGATCCAGTATGACCAACTCAGCATTACACTTTCTCCGAAACAGCTCATCTTTCTTGTGTTTGGGATTTCTTAAGGACAGAGAGAAGTCCAGCCATGTAACCACCACCACTGTGCTGGAAAACCTTGAGAGGGTTTTACGATGATATGTGAATTAATGCAACATAACAGAGATTCCCGTGCAGTTTCCTCAAGGTCAGATGTTGTGTTAGACTGTTACCTGATACATTCGCCTCTGCAACTATAGTCTGCATCTTCAGGAAGGCTGATTTGGCCTTTCCAATCCTAAGTAAAAATCGCATGATTTGCCATCATCCAGCATGCAGAAAGCACTATGCAGTCTAGAAGGAAAATGCCTCTTATATTGTGCTTTATATTCGCTTCACATGTAAGTGACAGCCTCTGTTCAGGTCAACCAAGAGTACAAATTTATGATCCTAGTCAAGAAACCATTAAAAAAAAACCCTGAAAACATAATCCCCTCTTCTGCAAGTTTTTGTAAATTCTAATTCATATATATTACTACGTAGGTCTCATTTCAGTGTGTTTGCTGCATTCCTATTAGAAGAAGCTTTTACTCAGACAAAAACTCCAGCAGAGGAGACTTGCACTGGGTGACCTCTAAGATCACTGAGCCATTAAACAAGTGACATCCTGGTAGACTTGCAGAATAATTAAAATTTAAATGCAAAGGCATATTATCACTGCTGGATTTATGCAAATTGTTAACTGTTTATAAAATGCAAGAAATGGTGGCAATGTCGCTTTGGCACTTTACAGCTTAGGTTTAACATATATAAAGGTTAAATGTTTGAATTTCCTATATTCTGCCAGCTATACATCTAAATGCCATGTATGGTGTTAAAGCATCAAAGATAAAGACAAATTTTGTCCTGGAAGCATTAATTATGCCAGGCAATCCTGTTAAATTCAATGAATTCAGCTGAATTTAATGAGGGTTCCTGGTGTAAATGAGGGCAGCGCCGGGTGCTACAACACAGCGTGCGAGTGTCATCTGGCTAAGTGGCAGAGCCTGTGCGAAGTGCAGCCCGAACGAGCTGCTTGTTGTATTCAAGTCTTAAAGCTTAATGTGCCTTAACAGAAGTTTTGCATTTAAATTTCCTTTTTTATTAAAAGAGAAACAAATAAGCTGTGCTTCAGACATTCAAATAATTACATTATGCATGGAGACCCAGATCCTCAAAAGGAATCAGGCCTCAGACTGCTGTTTCTAGTACCTATCTCGTAATTTTAGGTGACACTGGCATCCTCCAACCAGCTGGTCACTGACATTTTCACAGTGCTTCAGTTTTTGAACTGGGGCTGTTAAATGCTCCCCAGAAGGAACGTGCAGACAGATCTCCAGTCATATTTAGTCATAGTAATCAACTTACCTTCCCTCTCAAGCTCGCACTCCATCTAAGCTATAAATGAAAACAGGGCTGAAACATCAAATACATTTTTGAATTTATTCCATACAGGCAGCCACCCTGCGTGTCTGAGGCAGCCTAGACTGCCGCCGTGGTGAGCACGGGCCAGGGAAACTCCAAAGTGGTTAGGACAAGATTATTCTTACCTGCAAGCTCACACCTGCAATACGAGCTCCAAGGATGCTGCCACCCTCCCTTTCCACCTTGATTTCTACATTAATAAAACACTGGGAAAAATAAATGTATTCTCCTAGTGAGGTATTTCACAGTACAGGATCCTGCGTGGATCTTTCAGCAGACGAACAGCAGTTCAGCAGTGCTGAGCGCAAACAAGCTCCGGCAGGAGCTTCCAGGTAAGTGCAGAAAGCGGCTTTCCCACCTCCTGCTCCAAGTCATCTGGGCACCCCAAAAAGGTGGGTGAAACAGTCACAGTCTTGGAGCTAGGGAAGAGCAGAAAGGTGGCGGGTGGGGAGGAAGGTCCAGGTGTTGCCTTGTGCCAGTTACTGCGGATCAACAGCTGATCCTGTCACGGTGCTGGGTGTTTTTTTGCAGATAGCTCTGTATCATGTATAGGTGCGCTTGCCACCATGTAAATCCACTGCTCAGCTACCAGGCGGATTCTTCGCCATTGCTCAGCTGCCACCTTACCCTTACGTGCCTTGGGGTGTATTAAATGGCTGCCTCGGTCACGAAACCACCCTGTCCTCTAGTGAGTTTGCAGTCCAGGGCAAACCTAGGAGTCGAGGCCTAAGCCGGAGAGAGCCAGTCCTGCTGCTGGGACCTGGTGACGCCGTCGGGTCTGGTACCCAGAGCAGCGCAGTCCCACGGCGCGGCCCGCGAGCAGGAGGACGTGTCTGAGGACATGGTGTGCAGCAGCTCTACGGAGAGAGGCCCTTCCTTCTGTCCCGTTCCCAGCAGGGCCAAGGCCAGCGCTCTGACAGGCACATGTCAGCCAGCCACAGCTGCTGCTTCTTTCCATGAAGACACCTATGGATGCTCTCATACGGACACCAAATTTCAGATGTTTCCTCATAGGGATAAAAAACCGCCCATGGGGCCAGAGTTGTGTAGCACAGCAAATACTCAGCCTTTTTTTTTTTCTTCCCCTCTGTTTCATTTAAGTTGCCTGCTTAGCTCCAGGGCCGTTTTCCCGCTCTGCTTTGCCTTGCATGAGGAGCCAGGGCCCCAGCTCCAGGCGTCGCAAAGGCTACTCTGGGGGCAGGAATGGCAACGATGCTCTATAGCATAACGTATGGGCACCCCATCCCAGAAGACGTGTAAACGCCACCTGAACCCGGGGACAAAGGGCAGAGAGCACAAGGCTCCTTTGAGGAGGGATTCAAAGCACAAGCCGGGCATTCCCAACGCGTGTTCCCTGTCTCCCATCGGCAGCTTCCCTGCCCGCGGAATGGCCGTGGTTACCACAGGGGCTAAGGGCAGCCTCTGTGAACACGTCCCAGGGCTTAGAAGCCCTTGTTGAGATTGCAGAGCCCAGCCAGGTTAGTCACGGGCCAGCCATTGGCAACACCATGGTGTTCGAGAGCTGAGTTCGCATGCGAGGCGCCCACCGCATGGAGAGGATGAGCACAGACACCCCATGGCTCCTCCTGGAGCGCTGCAGGCAGCGCTGTGCAGCGCTGAGGAGCGCCAGGAAGCAGAGGCACGACGGGGACAGATATTCTGAGCAGTATTTATTGCTTAGAGACGGCTCTTGGAGAAGGCTGGACTCGATGAGCAAGGTGTATAAATCTGTCTAATGTTCTGGAAATTTCCAAAGTCACAGAGCAAACAAGATGCCCCAGGCGTCTAAAGGAGGCCTGTGTTTACACCCCCTGCCTCACAGCAGCGGGGGAAGGCTGTGTCTGTGCAGCTGAGGAAGAGACAACCCTTTCCATCAGCATTTCCTTCCAGGAAGCCCCAGATCTCGCTTAGATCTCACTTAGAGGCACGCTAGGTGCCTGATGTAGTGGCTATTAGTTCTATTCCCTGGTTGTGAAGTGGCTTAATGTTAAAATATCCAGCTTCCCTCCACCAGGATTACCTGCCCCAGGACACATACATAAAAACAAGGAGGGCAGGGTCATGGATTTTATCAGCCCTCTCTGCTCACCTAATTAGCTTCATAGAAAGCCCACGGAGCATCCAGACAACCTGCAGACAAATCCACAATCCCTCAAGCTGGTCACAAGAAGCACATCTATGTGTCACTTTTATGTGCTAGGAAAAATTTGGGTTAATGTGGGAACTGATACATAGGTACTAAAAAGCTATCTTCGAACCACACAACTCAACACCATTAAAACCTAATTCTGGAAGGGTTGAAGTTCCCCCCATCTGAGTTAAAGCTGCCAAACATGGTGTTTTCTGGTGTCGCTTATATAGATTTAAATATTGTGTCAATGCACCAAGATTTCCACTAGCTGCAGTAAAACAGGCTCATGTTTTGGAACAAAAAGTAAAATAAAATACAAAATTCACTTCTCACTTTTCGATCTGTGGAAAAACAAAACAAACGCAAACAAAAAAGCAAAAAATGGCTGTGAAAATAAACTACATTTTTCATCTGAAATAACTATATGTTCTTGCTCCTTCCCCTCTCCTCTTCAGAATAAGTGTTTAGTATTAATATTTTTTCTGTTGAGCTGTAATCTCCCATGTAATCTCTTCACTGCTGCAGAATCGGTGTGCAGGCCCCAAACTGCCTTTGTCCCCAGCTGATGAAAACGCACTCTGAGCACAAAGCCTTGAGCCTCTCAAAGACACCCAGCCGCAGAGGGCCGGTGTGCGAGAGGGCTCGCGGCGAGACCCCACGGCCGCTGCCGCCTCGCAGCACCAGAATGCATCGTGCTATGAAAATGATGAACGGTTTTCAGCGGTGTTATCATGTGTTATTCGTGACAGCCCGGAGATGGGTGCTGGGCCAGGTGCATATATTCCTCCTCTGAGACAACAAAACAAGGCAGCTCGGTTTTGTTTCCGAGGTCACATTGTTGAAAGCAATTGCGATGGGCAGCTCCTTTATTATTTATCCTCTCATCTTTACCTGCGCGCCGTAAATCTCTCCGGAGCAGCCTTCATTACCTGCCCTCTCCTTCCAGTAGCTCCCCCAGTCTGTCATGGGCTGACTGGGCCATAAATGGAGTTCTTAAGATCTCTCTTCGCTGCTTCCACTGCTCTTTTCTGCAGAGGGAGCAAGAAAGAGCAAATCAAGACAGAAGGGCCCATAAGAGGATGAGGAGAAATGAGCAGACGCCCATCAACTCCTGTTAGAAAGGAAAATAAAGCAGGGAGATGAATTAGGCTGGATACCAGGGACTAATACCAGCACCAGGGGAGAGGAGTCATTTTACTTTCCATTCTGCAATACAATTTTGGGGGGCATATAAGTCAGAGAAATAAATCTTCCACGGGCAGTAACTCTCATTTATTCCTGTGGCTGGTCTTTGAAAAATCCCAGCAGTTCATGGCGGGAGGAGGATGCCCCAGTGCAAAGGATGCTCAGGTGCCTCTGCCTGCCACAGAACCACGAAAATGCGGCCTCCCACCAAAGGCAGGAGATTCTCCCACCCACAGGGCAAGCACTGAGGGCAAGTTCAGTCAATCTGATCTGCCCACCCCCGATAAAGGTTTCCATAAACTGCAGCTTCCTCCTCGATTCATGTTCATGTTGAAAGCTGCAAAACAGGAGTTGGTATTTATTGCACGTAGCTTGGACTCCCTGGCTCTAAACGCAAGCTCTAGTCAGTGGCGAATCTGTGTTCTCCTCCCCAGCTAGAAGCGGGAGGAGTGACTCTGTGCCCTGCGGACAGACCGTGCCACCGCAAAGAGCAAATTCACAGCCCCAAACCCCACTCGCTCCTGTGCCCACCGCCAAGGGGTGGCGCATACCGCGCAGCTGAACCAGCGAACTGACGGCTACTTATCTCCATTTTAAAGTTGAGAAACTGAGGCACAGAAAATTACTTGTACAGTAACACGGGTAGTAGGAAAAGGAATAAAAGCTGATTAACAATTACAGCAACACTGCTGTGGAACATGTCCTTAATGTTAAGATAAAGGAAAAATAACATACACACACACACACACAGGATGAAGTGATTTTATTAATAACTCCAGAGAGCAAATTTCTACATTTTACTGCAGGAACACCAGTTTTGCAGATCAGGGCAGAATTAGGGAAGCTGCACACTAAAATGCCGATTATGCAAATTTATCTTGTGAACATTTTAGACAAAAATGAAGGAAGGTTTATTTTCTTTAATTAAAACCAGAACCCTGCATACTTCATTAACATGGATTCAGAGCAGAATGAATATTAATGTAGCCCATCTCTCCCAATTCTACCTGCCGGAAATATCAAGGAAAAAAAAAAAGGATAGAAAATGGATTCTTGAGCAAGTGTAAACACAACTGGCTAATGTAACTGCAAGGTTGTTATCATCTTTGAAATGTCACAGTGATGAGGAGAAATCTTAATAATTGGAAAAAAGGCAAATGTTACATTTGTCGTCAAGAAAGGCAAGAAGGAGGAACTCCAGGCTGTCCCCTTGCCTGCAGCGAGGCTTTCAGGGAGCCCCAGAGCAGCCCCGTGGCCAGACTGGGGTCAGACTGCACGGTGGTGAAAACTGCTAGGCCATCAAGCTGCGGATTGCTCAGTTCCCAACATCTAGCTCTAATCTGGTTATGAGCAGTGCTCCTCAGGGATCAAAACTAGGGCCAATAACATCTTCATTAGCTACACTGGAGATAGCTCCCGTAAGGATTTGTCTGGCCTGGAGAGGAGATGGCAAGAAGGGACCCAAGTGCAGTCTCCCACTCGAAGAAAGGATCGTAGAGGACACAGAGCCTCCTCTCAGGCTTTCAGTGGAAGGGGAGAGGCAGCAACCACGGGTTCCAACAATGGAGTTCACATTGGGCATACAGAAAAAAAATCCTTGCCCATGACAGTGGTTAAGCACCAAAAGGGGTGCCCGGAGGAACTGTGCAATCTCCACCACCAGAGGTTTTCAAAACTCAGCTAGACAAGGCCTTGAGGAACCTGATCACACTTTGAAGTTGCCCCTACACTGCGCAGTTGATTGGATTAGATGATCTCCATGTGAATTTTCAACCTAATTTTTTCTATGATTCTGCAGTTCTATGATTCAGTATATGCAAGTGTAAACAGTGAAAAAACACCATTTACATTTATTCAGATAGCTTCAGGCACCTATCAGGTTTCAGAGACCATTACTGTGCTGCTTCAGCCAAAAACTTCAGATATTGCTCCCGAGCAGGAAAGTGGTCGGCTGGCCGGTTGTATGCTGTCCAGACTGGCTCTCCAACAAACAGCCTCATGGCCTTCACGTAGTTCTGTCAAAGAACAAGAAGTCACAAGTAATGCAAGAGCTCCTTCCTACAGGATCTCAGTCCTGAAGTTAACTGCTATACATTTGCACTTCTGTAGCAGTTTTCAAAAGCCTTTCAAAACAGACTGAGAGCTCCACGTGCTCCAAGGAACTGAACTGCGCTGCTACTTCCCAGCTCCTGCACTGCGAGATGCTGCAACCAAGTCGTGCGTGGCCAAGCATGGTGCCTCCTGGCTGGGCAAGGAGAGTGCTTCTCTTCCAAAGAAAGCAACAAAATAGCCTTGTGCAAACCATTTTGCACAATATCCACAACACTGAGCAATGTGGGATCTAATTCCTCGTTGCTTAGTCATACAACGACACTTACAACACTATGCAGTGCTTGAAGCCTCAGAGTGGGAGCCATGAAAGCCAAACAGGAAATGCAGAAACCAACCACCAAATAATGCTGTGGCCAGGGACACATCTTCAGACTTCCAAAGGAAGCAGCAGGAGTCCCTACTGCCCACTAATCAGGTCAGAAAGTGCCCAGCTGTGGAAGCAGAGATGGGAATTTTACATCCTGGAGAAGTCTTCTAACTACCAAGCAGAAGGGAGGTCTCTCCTCTTCTGTTAACTGCGCTGCAAATTTAGGTCCTAGCTGTTTTGCAAACACTACTAAGCACTTACCTTGCACTGAATACTTCGCAGTGTCAAGAATAAAGTCAGGCACCTAAATAAAGTAACTAACTGAGGGGTCTGGAAGTGCCTAAAGAACTTAAGTGGGAGCTTGAAGATAGCATTTGTGAATTCAAGCCCCAAGCCCCTTAAAATGACATTTAAGGTATCTTGCTGAGGTCACAATTCATATCATTACCCAACTCTCAATCCATATCCCCTTATATTTTGTCCACATAAAGAAAAAGCCTTAAAAAATTGCAACTGTAGCTGATTCACTGTGAGTCCCTAACCGCGGGTATTAAAGGATGGGGTTTTCTTTCCTAGGTACACGGTACCAGGCAGGCAGGGAGCTGATTCAGCCCTCCACCATGCCCAGCGCCGGGCACGTCCACACCAGCCGCACCGCGGACACCCCCGGCACACACCTGCAGCTGCAGCGGGACGTGTGACCTCCACATGAAAGGTTCGCATGCTGTGAATTATTTAGGATTTTTCAAATTCCTCTTTCATATTTAATACAGTTTGCTAACGAACTGCAAGTCTCATGGCATGCAGGGAGTAATATGAAATATATTCACATATATTTGTCGTCAAAACTTACTGTAATCTATAATAACCTACATTCTCATCCAGTGTAAATCGGTGATATATGCCAGCAGGGAGTGTTATCATGTCTCCCTTTTCCATGAAAATCCGGATCCACTTGTCATCCTTGTCTCGAACATCAAAATAGCCAGATCCATCTAAGATGTAGCGAATTTCATCATCTAAGTGCAAATGTTCTTCATAAAATGTTTTTATCTACGGATAGTAAACGTCTCTTAAAATTGCTGAAGGCAAGAAAAGCTGCAAAGAAATCTCATAGAAACATTTGGCAAAGCAGACAGAACCAGAGGCTTTTTAACAGTAACTGCATAGTCATTTAACTCAGTGATCACTTAACTAAGTGATGTTAATGGCCAATCTGGTCCCAATCTGGTTGGACCCATCCCTGGTCAGAGCCAAGAGCAGATCCAGTCTCAGGACACTTCTAACCATTTTGCTGTACCTTCTTTGGAAGACATCACTGACAAGAAGCAAGACGGCTACACATAACCACCCTCTGAGCCACGGTAATGCTCAAACCCACTCGAGGGAGGAGAGGGCAAAGCTTCCCAACACTACATTTGGTCCCTGCTGTTGAGTTTGACCATTTTGTGCCCTTTTTCCCCTGGAATTTAAAAATATGATAGAGAAAAAAAAATGCTTTTTTTTAATGCTTGTTGAAGGTGAAGCTACCATATCTCATTTTCTGTATCAAAAAAATGAATTACTGCCAAACATGGCCCATTGTTGGCATTATGTAAACAATATATGATTCATAGATCAACCATTAACATTCTAAGCCCAGAGTCCCAGTTCAAGGCTCTTTCTTCCTAGACAGCAGCAGCAACACACTCTCCTGGAATGAAGAATTCTTTGAACATTTTACAAAGCAGAGCAGAACACACTTTAAAGGTTCAACCAGCAGAGATCTGAGCTTGCAAGTCCGCACAGAATAGGGCAGTGCTGCAGTGTTGGCTGCTCAGGCCGAGGTGCTCTTTAGGCAGCCCTGAAGTGTATTTCTCAACCTTTACTGTTTCAACCTGGCAAAATGAACACAAGTCCACATGCCCTGCCACAGAAGGCCTATTTTCATATCAGGCAGAAGCTATTCAGGCTAAAGGAATGTGGGAATGTGTCCCTGTATGTAAATTTACATCCATGATGTAAATCACTATTTCTTGAAAAGATACATTTTTCAAGCAGTCAGACTCTAAGGTGTTCTGTGGTTTATGGATTTTTTTAGCCTCCAGAGCCCACAGCTGACAAGACCCGACCTTCACCCACATGAGGCTCTCAGATAGGTCAGGATCTGCGGGGTTCTGTTGGTAGCCTAGCTCCACACATAGTTATGGAAACTATCCTAAAAATCTCTGAAGGCAATCTATAAAAGCAAAAGGCCTATGCTCTCCTATTTTAAAAATAATAACAAAACTGTCTTTGAAAGATAAGGACATCAGCATGGGATGCATTTTAAATGTGGAAAAAAATGTCATCTCTGAAGTGCAGGGTATACGTGTACATGTAAGAAGCTGGCTGCACACTCTAGTGGTTGACTTCAGAGCTCAAATCCTCATCCAAAAGCAGTGACTTGTGTACCTTTTCTTCATAATTTGGAAGCTTGTCTTTTTGTATAGTTATTATATCCATCCAAGAATAATTTTCTGCTTCGCGAATCTTTTTCAGACATGGATCCGTCTCATAGTTATCAGCATCCAGCTAAAAAACAGGCATAAAAAATGCATTCAGTGTTTATGGCAATTCAAGACACTAATGTGGAAAAGCCCAAGTTATCCCAAGTGTCAAAGGGCAGGCAAAGGACCCAAGCGGATAGTTAAGTTGGCTCCCTATAGGTATACAGGCCGTGAACCACCAGCTGCCAAGGCAAAGGTCAATGCATTAGTGCATAAATACCCCAAATGTACATCCAAATGATGTGCCGGATACACATCCAGCAGAGCTGCTCACCGGCTATCACGTGGTCTAATGAGAAAAATCAAGAGTGATAAAAACCTGAGCTTTCAAAATCAGCATGGGCTTCTCAGAAGGACTTGGCTGTGGAAGCCGATTAACCTGCTCTTCATGCCCTGCTCCCTCATTCTGCCTATCATCCAAAGGCCAGATTTGTTAGATTTAACTATATCCAGCACTCCTCATAAGGGAAGCACCCGGAAGCCCTTCCTGTTGCTGCTGCGCTCAGGATTCCTACGTTGGGGGATGCCAGCAGAAACGCAGCAGTTTGCACCAGTCGCTCCACGACCGCTTTTTCATCTGGCACGACAGGCGTCCAAGAACACACATTTATCGGGGGTGGGCACAGCAGCAGCAGCATGGCAGCAATAAACACGGTTAAATTAAGAGGTGACAGCTCTGAGGTCTTCAGCGGTTATTGCAGAACTTTCTTAAGTTGTTTTGGATGCAAGTTTTTTTGGTTGTTGTTCAAAAAAAGTACTCACGGTGCCGCGCTCCTGGAAGTGCTGCTAATAACAGGGACACACCTGAGGCTGCCATCTACCCCGCACAGCAGCTCCGTGCTCGCTGGCCGCGGCCCGCGCCCGGCTCCTCCGCGGCCCGCGCGCCTCCCCGTCGGC